TAGCTGACAAGTGGAGTCATTCAAGATACCTGTAAACAAGACAAAATTTTCATGAATTTTGTAGCACTGAAATAGGACACCATCTTTTATGAAATTTTATCTTCTCAAATGTCATAAAATCAACAAATCTTTAAAATTACCGTAGATAAAATTAAGCGGTTTACAGTATACACTAACTGTTGTAGACCTGTTTATGAAATTCAGTGACCCAAAAATATGTGTTGCGCAAGAAAGTACCTGTATGTGTAAAGGACATATGTATTTTTATTGAACGGTAGTAAAATCAATCTGCCATACATTGTATTAAAGTAATTAAAATTGGTTTGTTTGAGACACATATAATTTGATAAATTCAACAGTTTAATACAAATATTGAATTTGAATCAATTTGTATAATACAAATAGTTACAAAAAATATTTTACAACAAAAACAAACTTGAATGAAAATAACGTAGTCTACAATAGTTGCTTATTTATTATTATTATTTAATCAATCTTTTATTCATTATTATTTAATCAATCATTTATGTATTATTATTGTTTGTATTTTCCTTTCTACTTAGAATGACCAATCACATTCCTCTGTTTGGAAACCTGCCGAGAAACTTTCTGTTTTTCGTAAAGTATGTTATGGTATAGGTGGCATGCCGGGGGCAATGACTCATACTGTCATCGCTTTCTACATTATGATATACTTGCTGGAAGTAGCCGAGGTCAGTACACCAGTGTATCCCAAATCAAACACGAACACATAGTAAATGTAAAATTATATTATTGAAGCGAACAGTCAGTTTTTGTGTTTTAATTTAATATCAGCTGGAGTATGTATGTGTAGCCTTAGCATGAAAATACAAGTTTTCTTAGTTATTTAAAATTAAAAAACAATGCATATATGGAAAAGACAGTTTGCATGTACATATTTCCATGTATGTACATTGGAAGGTAGCCCAGACCATTCGTCCCGGTGTTATCACCGGGACGAATGGTCTGGGGTAATTGGAAGGTTGTGTTCTGCAGTGGGTCCAATGTGACTTAATACAATGCATGTAAAACATATTCTTTGTTTTTAGTCCCCGTTCAGGCATAGCCTGAAAAGTGACTATTATTTCTTATTTCTGGTTTCCTTCCATCCATCCACCCCCCTTATGTCTCCAACATTTTCTCAGAAATTCTGCAGCAGATATCAATGAAATTTGGCAGGTTGAGGTTGAATATGCATGTAATTTTTTTTCAACATCTGAAAATCCTATGTGTGTCTTTATCAAGATTTTCCTCGAAAATTACCTCTCCCTACTGCACTGAGAGAACAACTGAGCATGCTCAGAATAAATAATTAGCTTAGATTGTAATGCTAGGGTTTTTAGTGATGTCATGACCTGGTCATGACCTTGATCTGAATCAGTGACAGATGGGTCGTACCATTACCAAACTCAGTAGAAAATGTAGAGGGGCTGTCAGGACTACGTTTTGATGGAATTATAGTGATGATACTGAAACAAACCCAGGTCCTGGTAATATACAAAAACCTGAATTAACAAAGAAGTCAAGTTGTTATTAAACGGTACATCAAGGTTTACTAAGATTTATGAATGCAATTTCTTCAGTTATCAGATTAAGGGAAATCACTTTATGGCGAGTTGTACCCACATAGAGTACATATTAATTCATTTGTTTGCAGATGTTCCATGTATTATTTTAACATGAGTATTTTATAATTAATCAACGGGGACTGTGACATTCATGTCTTGTTCATTTTTAGCTACACCCATTTTACGCCAGTTTTGTTATATTTTCGGGTCGAGCCTGGGATGCCATTACTGATCCGTTGATTGGATTCTATATGGATAGATTGAACTGTAGACTTGGTAAACTGAAACCATGGTAAGTCATAGGTAAATTGTCTTCTAGTAA